GTGAAACTCTGTCTCCAAAAAAAGAAGTCCACTAAGGGCATATCTTCAAAATCTGGCTGCTATGAGTTGATAACTGGAGAAGCGTTAGGAATTTACATGAAGTACTATTATAGCTTCTGGTTGACATCTGCTCCTTTTTATGTTTTTGTAACAAGAACACCACCATTTTTGCATTCACACTGCTTGAATTTGCACCCTAGTTTTGCCACTCTGTTGTCCCCAATACCTCGTCCATGTCATGGTGATAAAAGTAGCGCCCAATTACCTCCTAAGGTAGTGCGGGGATTGAGAAGTGTATTCACAATAGAATTACATTTTTATGGTTCAGATTTTCATTCTGCTACTAACCGGGTTTAGGATTAACTGATCATCTCCTTGCCCACTGCTTCCAGGCCAGTGCAAGTCAAGCTCTTCAAGCCTCTGAAATAAACCAGATATGCTCAGTGTGTTGGCCTTTTATGAAATGGTGTGAATTTTTGTTTTGCCATTGGATACGAAATATAGTATCTTGTAACATTTTCAAGACAGAAACATTTATTAAAATTTTCTGTGGGCATCTGATTTATTCTAGAAAATGGAATTAAGAAAATTAAAAAACAATTAAGCACCTATCATTTGCTGGTGCCATTATTATAATGAACTTTGCTCCCGTAATTCTAAAAGTGGAGACTTGTCTGTGCCCTTTAAAGTGTTAGATAATGTAAGGCAGAAAAAAATCAACCAACTTAAAAAATAAAACTGTTCCTAGCCCTACCCATGGTATTTTACCCGAGGAACTATAATAACACAATCTAGGACTTCTTGGCATCTCTGGAATCTAAGTTCCTTATTTATAGACTTTTCACCAGCTAATGAATCTTATCCCTCTAACGTGCTTAGCTTTTGAGGAAGAGTGATTTTGAAATGACAGGTAATGTGACAGGATTCTAATCACAGAACCCCACCTAATCTCACATGTTACAGAACAAAACAAAACAGAGTTGCAATGTTGTGCGTATTCTCCAGTCTATACGCTGAAGTGGTGGTTTAAGCTTTGGTAGGGGGGAGCCAGAAAATAAAGATACTCCTCAAAATCTCACTTAATGATAATTCTGTGGTGTAGACACAATGTCTTTATTACTTTACATCTTATTGTTGCAGATAACCTAGAAATCACAGCATCTGTACATGCACTTTCCTTAAAATAAGAGCAATTAATTTTTCTCTTTGTATAATTCTTACGTCTTTAGTATATGTGTATTAGTGATAAGCTAACTATTCCCGAGGAAAGGAGAGTATGAACAGGAGGTATACTCTATATTAGTCCGTATCTGTGTCCTGCAGAGCTTTCTATGATATCTAAGCGACATGTATTTGTTGGTAACTCGGTACCTGGAACGTAAGGATGAAAAGAAAGGCCTGGATGCCCGAAAAGTGTTTTTAATATTGAGGAAGATATTTAGGAGCAGCACATAGATAGAATATAAACTAAGCCACAAATGGAAACAATGGTGAGAAGGTGTAAAGAACAATTAATGGAGACTCAGAGGGGAGAAGCCAGGGGAGAGAGGAGTATAAAAATAACTGCACTTAGAGAAGCCAGGGAACTTTTTAAGGGTCACTCCTGAAACTGTAGCCATTTGAATAGACACCCCAAAACACAACAAAAAAGTCCAAAAACTAGCATGTGAGCACATGCAAGAGCTGTGGCTCAAAAGGGTAGGGCACCAGCCCCGTATGCTAGAGGTGGTGGGTTCAAACCCAGCCCCAGCCAAAAATGGCAAAGAAAAAAAGAAAAAAGGAAAAAAGGGTTTTGAGTAATCACCTAGTGGATTGAAATTTCAAGCAAAATTATTTGCATAACATGCTGGATTTTTTCAGTAGGAAAAGAGAACCTTTGCTTCTTTTGAAAACAAAATGAGTTTAACATACTTAACCCAGGTTCAGAGGATTACTTTTGAATGAGAAAAATGATGGGATGAAAAAAGAAAATAAAGTTTTAATACTTCATTATCAGAGTGTGTTTTTGAAGATGATGTTACTCAGTGCCTAAAATTTTTCTTTAAAATCATCAGGGCATTGCTTTATATTTTATTGCTTAAGGGCCAAAATAATTCCTGTGAAAAATCTGTAATTTTATTATTTAGATAAATGTAGCATATGTGGTGGGAAAAGCTGCTTGCCCTCCTCAGCCTTCAGGTTGAAGCACGTCATTTTGATGAATCTTTGCTTTCTATGAAAGCACTAAATGAAGTCATTTAAAATGCATGGCAGTTTAAGTGAGTACATGCGGACAAAAGACTGACAATAATATGAACGTTAATAGAACAAAATATTAAATGCTTTAAATGGACCTTTCACTATGAACTTGAAGAAATAGCACATGGGACTTTTTGTTTCAAAATGGCAAAATTAAGGTATTTCTGCCCTCGGCTCAGAAATCATATTACAATATAAGGATAAGAGGTAGAACCATGGATTTGCAGGTGTCTAAACTAGAAGACATCTGTAACTCCAAGTCACAGAACTTTAGAATGTGGTAAAATGAATCGGAACACAAGAGATAAAACTCAGCTACTTGTCAAGGGGGTAGCAATGGAAAGTGAGTGTCCTTCACCCTCACAGAAGTCCGGAAGGGCTTTTGAAGTGGAGTAATTGGCACAATTACTGCAGAAGGAGATGGTAGAAATGGGTGCATAGAGTCTGTAATGAAGAATTAGACCCTCAAGCCTCTCTCTCCATCCCTGCAGGAGACCAAGTGTATGGTCTGGAGAGACTGCGACAATGAATCTCCGGATCACAGATGCTAATCACAGACCACCAGGGACAGATGGTTTCAAATAGGAAGGCTAAATGAAAGAAAACTGAGTCCCTCCTGAGAAAAAATTTTTACATACTCATAATCAAGAGCCTTCCCTGTCCCCCCAAAAAGGTGGTTGACTTCTTGATTAGCTTATATTTTAATTTAATTTTCAATTTAGGTATTATTTGTGGTAATTAATGCTGTATTGTGCATTGGCAACCAAAAACCCAGAGTCTCGTCTCAGTCCGGAAGTGACACGCTTAACAGTCCAGTGTCAGAACCTTTCACTTGGGAGATGCAGGGAGCCCATGGATCTTCCCATGCACCAGCCATACGGTTCATCATTTGTTTCACAGAACAATTAAAATTCATTTTACAATTAAAAGCTGATACCTGTTGCTTGCCTGATACATTCTGGCTCTGAAACAGGAGTGCATATAGAGTTGTATAAGATACACAGTATGTTCGCACCATCTCTGCTTTCAAGGTTATTCTGCCGTTTAACCTCTTGTTTCACATTGGCTTTGAAATAATTTTCTGATCATTCCCTTTTAATGTTAGGCAGGTTTGACAGTGACAGCTAATCAACATTTGCATGCTAAGCTATTGATTTCTGATCAACAGAATCTCGTGTCCCTGTTGCAAATGTTTAACTTCATATATTTCTCCCAAGTCTTTTCCTTTTTTAACTAAAATAATGCTGAGAACTGTTCTTCTTTATAATGGCAACATTTGAGAATCTCTAATATGGTCTGTAGATAAGTAACTGCAAATGCATCTATTTCTCGGCATTATCTTGTGGTTTATTTCTGATGTTCACTGAAGCAGTTTTGCAAATTAATACCAATATGAAATGCTCTATAGAAAGTTTCATAGCGTATCAGTTGAAAGCAATTATCCAAGAAGAGTTTTTATATCTGAGTCAGTCTTGCAGATGCATCTCATATACTTTTTGAGAGGAAATAATTCTTCTGATTTAAAAAGATAAATTTATCTTAGAAATACTATTATGTCTGCTCTCATTTGACTCTAAATCTACAGCGTGAACTGCTTATACCAAACTGATTTTTAGTATTTGAATTCTGGGCGTGCTAATCCATTTTTTATAATGTTTGGTTTCCTTATGTTTTCTTTTTCAGAGTACCCGAGTGGCCTTGGACCATCTGGAGTCTGTGCCTGAGAAGCTGAGCCTACTACAGGATTTGAAAGACTTCAAAGTGAGAAAGAGTTGACTTGTCTCTTTCTGTATTTTTATCTGAATGAGAATACTTGACATCTTCCTGATGTGCAGAGAAAAGTGTAGAGAGGAAAGAAGTATCAAAACACGTTGGGGACTTCTCCCACCCCACCGATCAGACTTTATTGACATTTGTGAAGTCAGGATTTAAAATAATGAAACTTACATATTAGCACCATATAGGAAGGTAGAAACTTTTACCCTTACCACTGGAAGCTCAGTTGTATCCCTGCAGCTTTTGCAATAGTTTAGAAAAACCTAAGAATTAAAGGGAGTTACACGTTCGACTGATAATAGATACCTTTTTTGATTAGCAATTTTAATTTATGAGTTGTCATCTCTTTTACAAATTGCTGAGTACTGTTTTAGAGATATGGTAGTTCACAGGTTATGACTATACTGTGACATAATGAATTCAAATCCACCTAGAGTTTTAGATTTCATATTCCACACCATTTATTGGCAGAACTCTAAGCACAGAGTATTTCATTATCAAGCCAGTTAATTACATGTGTGAATTTGCCATCTGTAATTTTTAAAGTTCCTCATAGAGGAGAGCTACAGAGCAAATAACCCTGCCAGACGAAGTCTTGTCCAGAAAACGTCTGTCTCCACACCACCTTAGAGATACATATGTAATGTAAAATGTTAACAACGTACAATTTTTTGACCCTACGTGGCTGAAGTTACCAATGACAAGGGTTTTCCCCTTGGAAACCATGTAATCTCTTATTTCACATTGGCCTTAATATATAATTTATGTTATGTTTAGGTTCTGTTTAAATCTAACATATTATTTGAGGATACGGTAGGTAGGAATATAGCCAAATTACGTCATGTTGGTTCATTGGAAGCAAAGTTCTCGAGGTCTGCACCGTTGTTAAAATTATCTCATTAAGCATCTTTTGGAGTTCCATTTTGAGTGAGATCCAAGGTTGAACTGACACATCCAAAAATCTAGACTATCACAAATGCAACAAAACTAAGTGTTTGAAGTATATTTTACTAAAGTATTTACTCTTTCTTATGATTTGATTATATATTTGTGGCTTAAATTTCCATCAAAGATTGTGAAACCAGTGTCCAAGGTGATGTCAAGTTGATGTACTCTCTCTTTTCTCTCTTTACCCTCATATTACCCCGTGAGATAGTGGGCGGTGGATGATGTAGCTACCAGAAGGTATCTAAGTATATGAAGGACAGGCAAGAGAAGATATAGGAAACAGGGAACACTTGGTCACTGTGAAACAGAGGCCTGTTCTATTCCAGTATAAAAACATAAAGTTTAACTTTTAGTGATAATCACTTTTTCCCCAGTTGTCTTTACTGGACAGAATTATTCATGCATATAATTTAACAGTTATATTCTCCACTATTACCAAAAGGGTTATTATTATTTTTTGTCCTATGGGCTAATGATTATCTATAATATACATGCTTCCATACACACAAACTCACATATGAAGAGGCCTAAAATTAGGCCTAAAATAAAAAGAGGCTTTGTAAAATTTTGACAGAGAATATTTTTCAAATTGCAGAATTGTGCTTCTCAATACATTAAAATTGAAATCATGTCCACACTGTATGGCAGGCAGTGGCCATTAGATGTTTTTCTAATCTTTTGATACCTCCTGCACATGGACAGTATTTTCCCCCGTTTTACAGACGAGAACACCAAAGCTTGGAGTATGTTAAATTGGTTGGACATGGGATCTGGGTATAAGAGCAGAGCCCATCTGCTTTGCCCTGCTGCCTTTATCTTGAATCTCATTCAGGGTTTACCCTAAATCCATCTATAGTGTTAAAAAGGGTTGATTTAAATCAATTTAATAAAAATACTAGACATAAGTCTAAATGAAAATGCATAAAGCCTTTATATTATTAGATGTAGACAATATATTTTCATATCCTTAAAACTTCATATAAATTGGTATGCTATGAACATAAATGCAGTGGCCTACGTTCTGGTCGTAGCTCATGCACCAGACAGAATCACTAGTATATCAAAGGGTACGTCCTCAGCCGTATAATGAGGGAATTAGGCAGCGTTATCTCTGTGGATCCTACCCAAACTAACATCACTAGCATACGAGTGAGAAAGTTTATTTCACGTGCACAATTCTTGGTAGTGTTATGTAGCCTATAACTCTGAGTACAGACCTCATTTTATTTAGATAGGCTTGGTTTTATTCTTGTTTAAATGTAGTCATGTTCTCTTTCTCTCTGATTTTCTCTTTCTCACACCCTCTCACCTTATTTTGAAAGAAGTAGTTCAGCTCTACAATCCCATATTTTAAACATGTATTTGTTTGTTTGTTTGAGATAGTCTCACTTTGTTGCCCTCAGTAGAGTGCAGTGGCGTCACAGATACAGCAACCTCAAACTCTTGGGCTTAAGCGATTCTCTTACCTCAGCCTCCCAAGTAGCTTGGACTATAGGTGCCCGCCACAACACCCGGCTATTTTTGGTTGCAGTTGTCATTGTTGTTTAGCCAGCCCAGGCTGGGTTCGAACCTGCCAGCCTTGGTGTATGTGGCTGGTGCCATAACCACTATGCTAGGGGCGCTGAGCCTTAAACATGTATTTGATGAGGTGAAAAGAGGAGAGTGTTGAGTTCTAAGCCTACTGTGCCCCAGACTGCCTAGCCCTGCGCAAGTCATTCTTAACTTCCCTAAACTCTAGTTTTTAGGATGTTTTATTTGTTTGTTTAATAAATAAGAATTCGGAATTCTAATATCCCTTGCAGCCTGAGCATTTAATAAATTTAAGGTCCCTTGAGACCATCTAGGGCACTAAATCCCATAGATGATTTTTTGTTTTTTACATTCCAAAATCATTTGCTCTTATTTTCTTCTAATTTCTCCGTAAATCAGAATAGAAATGTCTAAATAATTCACTATAGTAACTGTTTGCGGTGTTCCTTCTCCCAATAAATGAAGGGAGGGGGAGGGAGAAAGAAAGGCCCTGGAAATTTTGGCTTTGTTAATTTCTTTATTACCTGAATCTTCTTTTTCTTACAAGGGCAGAGGAGATCTCTTTAATAAGTTTAAGAATCGACATGATATAACAGTTAAAAATTAGAATGTTGTTTAAAGACAAATGAAGTAAAAGAGCATCAGTTTTAAAGGTAGCACTTTTTTAACAAGAATATTTTGGTATCAAGTATTACGTCAAAGGACAGCACACCCTATCCCAAGTTGATAGATATCATCAAAGACCATCCTTGGGCAACTCATTGTTACCTGAATCTTGCCCTAAAGGATGTTGATCATTTCAGATAGGCAGAGGGACTAGTGGTTAAAAGAATCTGAACGAGCAACGTGGGAACTGTTCTATTTTTATGGTAGCCTCTACAGTGACAATTTTGTTCTTTTTCGGTGGTGGCCTATGATTACCCTATATGTCTCTGTAAATGCTTGTATGGTAAGTTTTTATTATTTACATATCAACCCTTTCTTACCCTAATTTCAAACACTGATTTGTCTTTCATTCACCTAGTCAGAAGCTTTGTTGTTTTTCCAGGAGGCCCGCGCTTCACCCTCAAGAATTGATGGGAGATTTTCTAAATACAGAGTTCCAAGAGATTTTCTTCACCATCACCAAGACGACACCAAGTACAGAAACAGAAGTTTCAAAGTAATGTTCTTTATATACTTCTTTAGTCGTTAAGCGTTATTCATGTTTAAGGATACAGCCTCTTAAGCAGCCCCTGCAGCGAAAGGAAAGCTTTTCCCTGTTATATGAACTAGATCTTCAGTTCTATAGAAGCAGAGATCAAAAATCCAAAGACCATGCTTGTAACCTTTTGCCTTAAGTCTATGCCATTGTTGCTTAACATGTTGCTTGTCTGTGGAAACATGCTGCTAGAGAAATCCTGAGCCAGTTAACCCCTGGGCCCTGGGCCGGTCAAGTCTTGGTGAGGTGGTTTCCCTCCTGTAGGTCTGAGTCCGGTTTCTGTTGGCACTGAAGTCTGCAGCAGATCAAGTAACGTGTTAGCCTCGCATTTCCAGTCATTCTTTTCCATACTCATGCTTCAGCTTATGGTTCATTACCACGAAGCCAACATGGGTACTGGGAAGACTGGACCATATTGATACAAATCACACCATTCCCAAGAGCCTACCCCATATCCATCTGGAGTACAGGTGATTTTCAGTGCACTCAGCCCTGATCAGCTCTTCTCCTGGAGCTGGGAATTCAGTAAGTTCCCAGTTCCTTAGGACTAAATCCCACAGAGAATTTTTTGGGCCAGGTGATTCTTTGTTGTAGAGGCTGTCTTGTGCATCGTGGGCTGTTTAGTTGCATTCCTAAACTCTACTCACTAGAAGCCAATGGCATCGCAGCTTGTGACATCTAAAAATGCTTCACATCGCCAGAAGTTCCTTGGATGGCAAAATGTCCCCCCTCCCCCCATTGAGAGTGCTGACCTAGAGGGAATCCATCCATATGCATATGTCAATTTAAAAAAGAAGAAAAACTAAAGGCTCTCTGGCCTTTTTTCTATTCTTACAAATTTGAATATATATACTTTTTAAAAGTTTAATTCTTAATATATATTAATATTCATCACACTGTATATGTTCACTTATTACAGGCAAATATATTTATTTCTAAGAAGCTGAATGTAATTGGATAGAATGCTCGGTGGGTATAAAGATAGTGCTCATTTCCATAAGCCCTCCGCAGCATACTTAAAACAAACACTATACTGTCTCCATCCCAAACAAAAATAAGCACAGTTATGGCAAATGACTGATACTCTTACTACTGTGAAGAGGACATCCGTGACTTTCTTCCTTTTTACCTTTGTTTTTAATAAAGTGGTATATTGACTGTAGTAGTGACCTTGTCTCATATGGCAATTTTTTAATTCCTAAATCACCTCCCAACATTCTCATCAGGTCCCTGTATACTCCAGTGTTTCCCCACCATTTAAAGAAGTGCCACTTATCCTAAACGGAAATGTAGGGTTTAGGCTACGGGAGCTAACAGTAACTGCCAGTCATTGAGCATGTGTTAGAACTGACCCCACGAAGTTGTGCTTTTTGTGGGTGTTGGTGTGCCTTATGTCCATTATCGTATTTAATTATCACAACGATCCTGTCAAGTTGGCACCCTTATTTTTCCTCTTTTACCATTGAAGAAAGCAAGGTTATTTAATGGTTGAATCAGCATTAAAACCTAAATCTGCCTAGCTCCTATAATTTGTGTCCTGCCATGCTGTTAACAGTATAAATTTAGACTTCATATGACTAATTTTTTCTAGAAGTCACCAAATAGACAACTGTATTTTTAATATATAAAAGTCAGTTTTTTGCAAAAATATATAAATGCAATACATGCCTCTTAATTCAGTGGAGGCCTAGTGCAGATGAAAGATTTAAAATATTATTTCCCAGTACAGATATGTCTGGTATGAGGTGAATCAGTGCTGTCTAGTGGTACCCAAATTGCTATAAATCAATACAATTTCCATAACAGCATATGGCAAAGCTATGAATGTTTAACATGTTCAAAAAGTAATCTCATTGGAGTTCTGTAGAAAATTACATTTGCAGCTGAAGAGGAAATTAAGCCTAGTTCATAAGAGAGGCCAACATTTAGCAATATGAAAAATAAGTTTGAAAATTTCACAAATAAATAAGTGCAGGTATGGAATAGAATCACAAAACACATTTTCTAGTGGCAGTGTTCCACACTTAATGCCACTTAAACATTTCAAAACTAATGCATTTCGATGTTTAATATACAGATTGTTCACATATACATAGCAGATGCCTGGCCTGAAATAATGTAGCAATTTAACACAAAACTCGCGGGAATATCCCAATTTGGTATTCACGGGAGTGGAAATTATGGGAACACATTTTTTCCAATTGTAGGTACCACTGGTCATTTGCTCATATGCCTTTTATATAAATAAGTTACTTAAAAAGATTGAGAAGGGAGACAGCCTCAAAGGAAGCAGGAGCTTAGATGGGTAATGAGAAAGTTCTGTTAAGCATTTCTTGTCTTCATGGGTAATCAAAAGAGCTACCTCCGGTTAATCATTGACATCCTGAAGAAAATGCTTCACATGACAGAAGTAGAAACTCTTTAAATCAGGCATCCTCAAACTACGGACCACGGCCCGCCTAGGACATTTATCTGGCCTGCCGGGTGTTTTTGCTGCTGCTGCCTGTCCTGCTCAGCAGCCGACTTGTCCTGGGGTCCGCAGTCCGGCCCTCCAATGGTCTGAGGGACAGTGAACTGGCCCCCTGTTTAAAAAGTTTGAGGATCCCTGCTTTAAATCAAGAGAGAAGGTACCCCATTACTATATCAGTTTCAGAAGAGACATTGTTTCAGCAACTGTTAACTTCCCCCACATTTTATTAGGAAAATGTTAAAAAAAAAAAAAAAAAGGGCATATTATAGGGATTTGAGTTCATTGGTTCTACTGAAAACTGTGGTTCCAGAAAATCAGTGCATGTAAGATTCAGTTTAATGCCACGAACATACTGTGTGGCTACTATACCGTCCAACACTATACTACCAGTTGGGGTGGGGTGGGAGAGAGACGTATAAAGATGCAGAAAGCATGTTCTTCAAGGAGGGAATCATTACCTCGTCATCTTAATTCTGCCTCTTGTAATTGGAAGATGTTCATTTTTTTTTTTAAATGCAACATTCAACAAACATTTATTGGGTTTTTACTGTGAACCATGTGTCCTGTATGAGGGGTTCAAGAGAATGGCATACGAAAAACCACTGTCAACCTTTAGGAACTTCAACACTTCACACAAACAATTGCGATGGAAAGGAGGAAGGAATAAGTGCTATAAAGAGCACCCCCCCCCCCCTGCCGCCATGGACCACATTAGGGTCCAATAGAAAGGAAGATGCTCAAGAATCTTTTGAACAGAGGTTGGTGATGACAAAGTGCAGGGCAGAGTTTTGTCCACACCTCAGGTTGGAGGAGGGTCTCTGCTAGCATGTCAGTTGTAGTGCTCTGACTGTGTTGCTGTTGACAGACAAATAACTGTTGCAGTTGGCTTCTCTCCTGCTGTGGCTGTTGTGAGAAGGCAGGGAAACTTCACCACACCACACTGCTGGTGGAGGAAAGTTAGCAGGAAGTCAGCAAGTCAGGAGCTTTTTCAGTCAATCCAAGGGTAGGGTTGCTCTTCTGTTTATTCTCGTGGCAATCACCAAGGATAAGATGATCAGATTTCTAGAAACCTGTCAAGATTTGAACAGGACCAATTGTGGGAGCATAGTGTAATATTGTATTAAGTTGACCAAGCTTACTAGAAAAACTCTGATGTGCAAATTTTGTATTTAGAATTCGATTCAAAGCTGAACGGAGCCCATTTTCTCTGTCTTGGTAGACAACAGAAGCATTTCGTGGCCTCTCTTTCATCAGGCCTAATTGGGTTTCTCAGGACATAGGCTTCCTTGCTGTCCAGCTGTTTCAAATAGAACAGAATGTTCAAAAGTCAGCCAGTAACACAGCATTGCTAATCTGAATTCACGGAGGAGCGTGGTTTTGTCCAAGAAATCCCCATTTGTTACCTTTACCCATGCTAAATATATGGTTTTAATTAAAAGTGGAATTTTTTGGTGAAAATCACAGAAGGCATGTTTTTCCCCATCCATCCTCCCCGGAAGGGAAAGTCATGATTTTTAACTTCTAGTTGGAGAGTTGGTATGCAGTTTCTTTTCAAAGAAGCAGATGTTTTATGGGATAAGATGGGCTAGGTGAGGAAGCATTGAGAATGGCTTTCAGCAGAGTTTATAGAAAGCAGTGTTTGCCAAAGTTCTTTGTCATATTTGTTCAGCGTAAGCATGTGTGTGATATAACTACGAGTTTTGCTCCAAGAAGTCATTTCTCGCTCATTGAATCTCTGTAATTTGTTTATATCTTGCTCCCAGCAATTAATGGCCGTTAGCACAGTCTCTCTTGAGTCAGCTATTTCTGCACATACCTTCAGACTTCCCCAACAGTAGATTCTAAAGTATGCTGTGCATAACTGTCGGTGCAACTCAAGATTGTAGGTGAAGCATAAACATTTTTATTTTAATGACTATTAAAATATATCACTAGTGTATTATTCATGTGATTTTACAGATTCTGCTTGGAAATAGCAGTGGCAAGCATGCAAGGACTTAAGAGAGCTTTAACCCTGTATAATACCCCAGTTATCTCCTGGATAACCACTCTTCCTCATGCTTGGATAAGGGATCATATGTAAACTGCTATGCAGATACAGCTCTGTGCTTCTCTCAGTCCCAAGCAATTTGCCATCCTTAAAGCCTCTCCTCTCTTTTTAATTTTTAAGTAAAAGTAAAGACAATGGTAGTATAACGTGAGTGAATATTGCAGTCTGAGAGACGCTGTTCGCTGGATGGTACAGCCTTGGAATGCAGGTGCTGTCTGCCTCATCCTTGATTCCAGAATATATAGTGAGTGTACATATGTGTCAAATTAGGAATTTTATAAACTTAAAAAAATAAAAATTCTTTTCTGTTTCAGCCTTTCTGAGATTCTGACAAAGATTTAGTTGCTGTGTTTCCAGTAATGCTTATATGACACATCTAAAACCTTGTAGGCCATCAAAGCATGCTGAAATCTGAAGAGATTTTTATTCTTTTGAAGTGAT